TCTCTCTCTCTCTCTCTCTCTCTCTCTCTGTTTTTGAGACAAGGTTTTTCTGTGTAGCCCAGGCTGACCTGGAACTTGCTCTATGGAGCAGGCTGGCCTCGAACTCACAGAGATCCACCTCCCTCTGCCTCATGAGTACTGGGATTAAAGGTGTGTGCCACCACCTCCCAGAATCATTTTTCTAACCAATATTTGGATCTATCTTGTAGCCATGTAGCAGAATTAGTGTTTATGATTTGGTCCTCACAATAGCCATGTGCTTTCGATATTGCCACTGTACAGATGAGAACTTTGAGAATCCTAGGTGCTGGGGACTCCATTCAGGTTCACTCCCAAAGCTAGCAGAACAGGGTCAGACCTCCTTGTATTTTGTGAGTGGCTCTGTGGGGGAGGGGACAAGGATGAGAGGGCAGCATAGCCCTCTACTCTCTTTGATTATATTCAGAGAAAAGAGTACCTGTGCAATCTGTTGAGACATCATCTCATCCATTCTACTTTGAAAGTTAATGCATGCTGGAGCTGGCTGGGGCTAGGGTCCAAACAACTTTTAGCAAATGTCTTTTTCTATAAATACCTCCATCCAGAAGGATAGTGAAAGGATTCTGACTTCTCATCCAGACAAAATTTCAGTATGGAGAGGTGAGGTGGGCATGAAGTCCCACCCCTAGCCAAGGAGGTATGGGCAATTAATACTTTCTGGGAAAGGAAGGGTCAATTTTCTTTAAGAGTGTGGCCCATGGTGGGTTGACTACCCTCCAGAGACAGTAACACATCCAAGAGTGTTTGGGCAGCACAAATTGAACTTGATGGGTTTTTTTTTTTTAAAAAAAAGGCATAGTTGAGTAGGTATTGGGAAGAGGAGATAGATTTGGGGGAAGTGGGATAAAGAGTTGAATAAATCAATATACTTTGTATGAAATTCTCAAAGAACTGATAAAAGGTGAGAAAGGGTGGCGGGAGGCTAGCTGATGACTTTGAGAGTGACTTGCACATTGCTTTTTGCATTTCTATTGGTGTAAGAAATAAAACTGTTAGGATAAGCTTGGTGACCATTCTTCACACCACTGGCTAATCCTCATCACTTCTCC